AGTAAAAATAAATATCTGTATTCTACATTTTGGCAAAATCTTTGCTGATGTCAAATTGGCGTAATTAAATCATTGCAATCCAGCGTTGAGCGAGACAAATTTACGATTAAAATTATAGTTTTGTTTTGTCTGTATTACGATTGTTTATATTTTATCTTAGAGAGTAAAAACAATAATTAAAATCAGAGATTTATTGTTTTAAACGGATGATATAGTTTAACTAACTTCCCTCGCCAACCAACTTTTTTTTATTTACAATATAATAAAACAAACGAATAAAGATGTATTATATCTCCTTTTATAGGCATCTCTATAATACCTACAACTTCTCTACATAACATTTTTCTCTTCGTAAAATAGATTATTCTAAAAACGTACAAAGTGAAATCGATAATATTTCGGAACAAGTCAAGCACTGTAAACAATTTTTGTATAGACCGCATGATTTGTACCGTAATATTACCGTTTTTGCACGTGTTGGAACAAACCTATTATACCACTACACGCGCGAACTCATAGAAAAGAGATTTTTTGTAAAGATCTGTAAAAATTCAAGGGCAAATTTTATGGACCCATCTTGACAACGTCGCAGGGACTCGTATGTACATTGAAAAAGTAATTTATAAACAGGATGCCTCTCATGTCAGTTAAATATTGTTAGGGGACTCGCATGTACGTTGCAAACATGTATGTTTAAATTTTAGAAATATATTACCCCTCCTGTGGTGTTATAATTTAACATTATAGTACATTCCAAAACATGAAAATATATATTCAAAAAATTACTCCGTCAGGAGGACCTCGGGTGGTGTGTTGAATACATCGGGTCTCGCTTTTGTATTTGAATACGCATATGTTTAAAGAAGAACTAGAAAGGTAGTCGTTGCTGTCTTAGTAGAAACCCAACCAATTATTGGGGAATTCAGCAAATAATAAGTTTAAAAAGAACTCTTTTTACTACATCCAAGCTTTCGGAAATTTATTAAATCATTTTTATCATCAGGGTAGACTACAAAATAATGTTGGAAAATAGTTGCAATGGACCAAATTAAACTAAAGTTACTACTTACAATAAGTTGAAATTGTTCACTAGATGTTGTAACAAATTGGTATATATTTTTCATAAAATAACTAAATTTATATATTATAAATTAAAATTACTAAAATTAAAGTTATTTCCTTTCCAATTCAGTTTCAATATACTCCGTTGTTAAATGTGTAATGTATTTGTCAACAATTTGACATTGTCAAAAATGGCATTTACTTACAAATATTGCAAAACATTTCTTTTTAAAATTAAATTTTTTTATAAATGCGCTAGTTCAGTGATGATGTAATTATGGTTCCACTGACAATTAAACTGACAGTAGATTTTTTGAGTGCGTTTTGTTCGTTTTGTTTACCTAAATTATATCGTTTCTTCAATTTTATAAATATATTCCTAAAGTAGACATGCATCAAATATACAATCGTTTAGTTACCAATTACATACTTTTAAACTATTTTTTATGACCTGTAAAAAATATTTAGAAATAAACTAAAAACAGTAAAAACGTATACGTCAAATTTATTGACGTTTTTGTTAAAAGTTTGGTTAGAATTAAATGTCAGTGGAACCAAAATGACATCACACCGAACTAGCGCATTCATTATAAAATAACTTATTACAAGGAGTCAAGAGATGACACCAATATGTTAATTTCGTAACGGTTTGTCTTTTGATAAAAGATTTTGGTAAATTTCACTAAGATGTTGTATGTCTGTTTTTTTGTTCATGTTTTTAGGGTTTTGAGCTATAAATGTCATTTCTAGAAACTTTCTTTTTGCAAGGTTAGATTCAGTAATTAAAACTGTCGATGATTCCCAAGACATGTTGTAGTGTTGTGAATATCCGTATCTTTTTAGTATTCGGATAATACGTATTCGGAACCAAGAGATATTCGGATTCATCATCCGGATACGTATCCATATGTGTGAAATCATAATACGCAACCGTAAATACACCGCGACCTTGGGAATCGGAATCGGGCAGTGTTGTCAACCCTAGCAGAATTTATGTTTGAGAGTGAAGTAACAGGAGCTTTTATTGTTTTAGAATAATAAACACAAGATAAATCTCAAATATTTTGTTTTTTATCATAATATCAGAAACAAAATTTCTCATTTATATTTATATAACTTCATGTTACCTTTAAAATATGCAGTGCATGCCGACTAACCGATTATGAATTGCAACAACGCTAGACGATTCCGAATTCTGATTTCGTATCCATAGTTCGTATCGGCAGCCACCCGCAAAACCCGAATTGGCTCTGTCATAACAGAACTTGCAGCATTCGATTCGTGTATTACGATTTTGTTTCTGTTTTTTTTGATACCGAATTCGTATTCGAATTTACACTTTTGATTCCGGAATATCCGGATCCTTTTAATATTCGGATTCAACGGATTTTTGGATACGTATTCTTACATCACTAACATGTTGTCCTTCGTTTGAAACGTGTAGCAAGTGCACATCTTTCCGGGTGTAGTCTTGGCACTCTTGTGTGATGTAATTCGATCTTTTAATCGTCTGCCCGTTTCTCCGAAATATTGTAAATCACAATTTGTACAAGAGATTCTGTAAACTGCATCCGATAGGAAAAGCTGAGGTTTTGTCTTTTTGTTTTTTGCATAAAGAGCCTAAAGTTAAAACATTTTTATTTGAAATTTTAATGTTATCTCTAGTATTCAAAATGTTCATCAGTTTAGGAGTAAGATCCTTTATGTACGGTAACGAAATATATCTAACACAATTGCTGGCAACAGACTGAATATTTGTTGATGTTCCGGGAATTGGTTCATTTTTTAATATCCTTGTTACATTATTAGCAATTACTAAAATATTATTGATGTTATCTATATTACCATGGATTGCAACATCATTGACAATACTACTAGATTAATTATTTAGGATATCCATTTTGTAAGAAAAGTGTTTTCAGAATGTTTAGGTTTTTTTGATGAAAATTGGTATCTGAGATCTGTAATACTTTACTTTTCATTTGTTTCACTAAGTTATTTTTCATTTGAAATGGGTGATGTGATTTGTAGTTAATATGTCTACCTGAACTACATGTATTTCTATATAAGGACGTAGTCAGCGCCGTAGCTAACCGATCTAGTGGCCCTTATAGTGAAACCTCTCGGAACCGCTCTGTGCATTTCATCAAGAGGCATAGATATTTTGATGGTTTTACTAGGTACATCCACCTGTTCTCTTTGGGAAGGGTTTAGGTGGTTACCTGTTCATTTCTTTGCTCCGTTTCTTTATAGGTTTGCTCTTATTTTTCTTTGTCTTGCTATTTCTTCTCTTTCTTTTTGACTCATAAGTTCCCTTATCATTTCCAACTACATTTGACTGTAACTTAAATGAGCATATCTGAGACTTTGTTTATTAAATTATTAAAGACCTTGGAATTATTCTTGATCCCATTTTAAGCTTTAATCAACACATATTTGCTGCTGTCCACAAATCCAATGAAAATGTTGGGTTTTATCAAAAGGTTGACCCATGATTTTACTGACACAACTTTAATTAAAGTTCTTTATTGTTTGCTAGTCAGACCCCACTATTAATTTTCTGTTTGGACTCCACACTAGTTACATTATAATGCGTTTTCCTTTGGGGTTTGGTTCCAGTTCTAGTTAACTAAATTAGAACCAACCATATTCCTTTCATAAACAATGACTTCACTTATAACCAGTTGGTTAACATTTTTGAACCAGCCTCGCGAGTCGGTTCTAATTTGTGGTATGTTCTATCCTTAATTAGTATTCTTTTCATTGTATAAATTTTTAAATTTAGTTTTCCCGCGGAATCTAAATAGTTCCATACTAGGTCAATCAAGATAATAGATCTCACTAGACACTTTTCTTATAAATATAAATAAAGGAAAAGAGAACTTAGGAATTAATAAATAATGGTAAAATATTAACACCATTAAGATTAAGTCTGAGACTGGAATGAGATACAAAAAATGTGCCACTATTTTTTTAAGGGAAGATTATCATTCTCTTTATCGCTAGAAAAAGGTCTGCATCGTTCGTTAAATGATTTGTCGGTTTTATTTTTATATTAAAAACAGAGTATCCTTGTGCATTAGAATCGCGTCTGCAGACCAAAAGTTAATTGTAACTATTTCCGTAATTATACCGTATATCGTACTATATAAAGGTCTAACTTAGGTGGTTCAGGCATTGATTTTTTTAAATTAATTGCTTTTAATTAAAAACGTGTGGTAGAAAATGGCCTATTTTTAGACCTTTTTCATTGAAAGAATAAACTACAAATTCAATAAATTTTCTAAAAATGAAACCTTGAACCACCTAAGTTAAACATTTTCCTATCAAATCGTTCATTTGGAAAATACGAAAAGGCTCAGACCTCCGAAATAGTTATAAAAAAAATTTGGACTAAAAATGGCGTCCTCACTTTCCGAATATAATCAATAATTAGTTCATCCCTGCTTCCATAGATGGATCGAAAAGATATTACATTTCGTTTATGCTTTTACAACATAAAAACGAATTAAAATTTGATAACATCAAATATTTTCTTTTTTTTAAATATATTTAAAAAAAATAATTACACTAAAACGAGTTAATAAAATGACAAAAAGAATATAGAATGTGTGATATTAATTTACAGTCGAGCAATGATCACCTGGTTGAATTTGGTTACGTTGTTGAGTGATGATATTGTGAAACAGATGAGCAGCTGGGTTTAGATACGAGGGTTTTAAAAATAAATTAAATTTTAATAATAAATATTTTTAATTTTTGAATATTTTAAATAATTTTTAAAATTGTAATTTGTAATTGAAATGGGCTAACCCATAAATAAATAATTATTAGTGTGTACATTACTCCCAGTCTGTTTGAATGTAATTAAGATTTATTAATTTTCTAAATCTTACTGCTTATTGCAGAATTTATAGCATTTTAAAATTTATTTTTAGGTCATAAAATCGTCTTCCAATTCTCGCGTCCCTGATTGTTTCCAAAGAACACCAAGAAGAATTCAAATACCAGACAATGGTGGTCAAATTTTAACTATAGCCGTGGATGGTCAAGGAATACATGCCATTGTCAGAAATGGTTCTAAACTCAGTTATGTAATTTATAACATAAGTAGTGGACGAGTGGAGCAGGATAATCAATTTCCCAGTGAAACTGCAGCTTTTATGGGATTGTATCCATCTTACATAAATTTAACTTGCGCAGGAGAGGTGAATAATGCATTTTTATTAAATAATTTATATACAACATATTGTTACAATGGTTTTTGGTATCTCAGTTTATTTCGACTCAATTTTTACAATAACAATACAACTGATAACATTAATGTATAACGTCTATCATAGAACTGACTTTGACATCAGACTGTCGACTAATATAGCTTGCCTGAACCTTTTTGAACAATTCAGATTTTTCTTTGACAAGTAATGCCATTTCTAGACATTTCTGGACTATTCTATCTTCTTAATTTATCGTACCTTTACTTATGACGACCGCATCACTCTGCAGGGAGCTATCTAGTTATTCGCCCCGAATATCTTGATTACTGAGACCTGGTTAGAGCTAACGGGAAGGATCTGGACCACGGCATGCCGCTAACTTTCCAATGTGAATTACCTTGTATTTACTTCAAGCTGACAGCCGAATGCGGTAGATCAAGTCGTTGATTTTCCTTAAGAACGGCGTAAGGGCCTTCCCAGTTCCGTTGCGATTTCTGACAAAATCCTCCTCGATACTTGGGATTGCACAGCTGTACTGGGTCGCCTCTCTCAAAATATGTCCCTGTGGCACGCCTGTCGATTCTAGCTTCTGCTTTATCGCTGTTGGGTTTCAGTCGTTCCCGAGCGAATCCATAGACCTTTGTCCTGCCATTGCATACATCACATTTTTTACACCAATTCGCTACATCCCGTCGGCAATTGAGCCAGTAAAATCTTTCCCGAACTCATGCCAGTGTTCTTTTAGTACCAAAATGCCCTCCCGAACGGCTACAATGAAGCTCCTCCATTTGGCGGACTACATGTACTCCATCAGGGCTTTCCCACTTCCGGTGCAATAGGCTATCGTCCAGGTACAGTGATTCCCACTGGGTCCAGTACCCTTTAATAGCTCAACTGTTTTTGGCTCTCTCTTGCCAAGTACGTGTAACTTTATTTTTGAGCCATTCTCGAACAACCTTCAAAATTGTCTTTCTTCTGTCCCTTTCTCAGGCTTTCAAGGGTAATTTCTTCTTCGTCGCCCTCTGGTTTGATAGTGGTTGCCCGAAGAGTAACTTTATCAACCGGTTCTTTCCGTTCTCCGAGCCCCTTACTGTACCGGCATTCTCGTTCTAAAGAGAGTAGCCTGAGGAGAATGTTTACGTTGCTATGGAGACGGCCTTTATGGTGATTTACTTCCTGATTATTGCTAGAAAGCCGGCTCGTGTGGGTGATTGGCTTCTTCGGGACGCATAGTTGCTGTGACTATTGTTGTTGGACTTTGTGACGGGCTTCAGAAGATTAATCTGTGTGAATTCCCGGCCTCATTCCCTGATTCTCGATTTATAGAATGAGCTCTGCTTCTATAGGTTGTTTGAAAGTGCCCCATTCTTCCACAATTGAAACATCTTCTGCTTCCATTTTGGCTGTTTCGTTGCATATTTTGCAGGATATTTAATATTTGCGAGAGAGTAGGTTGGGGAATAGCATTAGTATTGGCCTCCTCACTTTCCTGGGCCTTAATTTCTCTCACTTTTGCGCGAGAAGATCTGGATATGAGTTTTACCACTTCATATTCCTGGGCTGCAATTAGTTTCTCCCTCAGCGTCTTGTGATGTTGTAGACGAAGGGCTTGCTGCATTTCCACATCTTGTAGTAGTCCATCAATAAATGCCTGTAGGCCGATTTGTTCTTGAAAATTTTTGGGTGCCTGTGGATAGGTCAGATGAATTAATCGTTTTATATCGTCCTCGAATTCTTGTAGGCTCTCATTATGTTTCTGACTGCGAACCTTTAGCTGGCTTTGAAATACCCGTTTCAAATGCTGCTGGCCATATCTTGTCTCCAAAGCTTGGACAAGAGACGAATAACTGGGTTCTTCTTGAGGGAATAACTAAAACGGTTGCGGCTTGTCCTCGCAGCGACACTATCAATGCAGCCGCCATCTCCTTTTCAGCCCAGCCATTGACGCTTCAAATTGGAGGCGATACGTTTCCCATGTTGTCTGACCGTCAAACGTGGGTGGCTTAATGGTCTTGCTAGTATGAATTTGTGAAACTGGGTTTTGAATATAGCTTGGTTCGATTATTATTATTTTTAGTTTCTCTGTTGCTTATCGAAGCTAGGCTACGAATTATTCTAACTCAACTAGTTCAGTTCTAATTTGGTTCTCGAACTCTACTCTAGTCTTTTCCTCTTGTTTTAAATTATCTCGTTGTTCTAAATTAGTTTTTAAATGCTCTTGTTGTTGCTCTATAAGATCTACTCTAATTTTAAGCTGACCAACCTCTTGCTTGATGGTTTCCTGGTTTTGTAGCAAAGCATTCATAATTTCTACCTCAACTTTTTTACGCCTCTCTTCTCTTTTTCTTCGTCTTTCCTGTGCTTTTCTTTTTCCCCCTCCTCCTCCTTCCTGCGTCTTCCCTTTTCCTCCTCTTCTTCTTCTTCCTCCTCTTCTTTCTTCCTGCGTCTTTCCTTCTCCTCTTTCCGCCTTTCCTTCTCCTCTTTCCGCCTTTCCTTCTCCTCTTCTTCATTCCTACGCCTTTCCTTTTCCTCCTCTTCCTCCTTACGGCGCCTTTCCTTTTCCTCCTCTTCCTCCTTACGGCGCCTCTCCTTTTCCTCTTACTTATGACGACCACAGCACGCTGCAGGGTGCTACGTAACAATATTATAGCGTTTTCCATTGACACTAACGGTACGCACCAAGTATATTTGTGTCCTTGTTTATCGATATGGAAAAGAAGAAAGTGAGAATGCACTGAACATTCCAATGGAAAACGCCACTAGTGTATATGGCGATTGGACAAGTAGCTATAAAAATTAAATATGAAAAATATTAATAATGGTATTTTGTTTTCAAATTTGACATAAATAATTTTGAACGACGTGAGTTTTAAAAATTTTGTCTTTAAAATTTTGAATATCCTTGAAAATATCTGTACTTGGAAAAACTATGAAAACAGACCAATTAATAAAATCTAATTTCGCGAGATGACTGATTTTATCATAAATCGATTTGTGTAAGTGATTTTACCGGAAATAAAGATGTTAGAGTGTGAAAAATATACATTTGTTCCATAAAATTTAAAAGGACATGTGATATTTAAAAATATTATTTTGTGGATCATTTTGTAAGTAAACGATAAAAATCTAATAAAAACTTTTTACTTAGGTTTTTAACAATATTTATTAATAGGTTAACAACCGGTTCCAAGCACGTTTATTGCAATGTATGGGTCTGATAACCTTTCACAGAGCTTGTGAATGTAATATGTAAATTTCTCAGTCGCATAAATTTTGGTTCTTGCTACCGCTGTATTAATTTAAGTAATAATAGTTTTATCAACAAAAAATGTTTCTAAAATAGGCTATGATCGACAAAGATAGAGATACGAGTCATGTCCGTGATAACGACACAAACTGACCAAACATTTTAGTGGATCGCTCCATAGTTATCTATCTAATTGGTTAGTATGAATATCGCATTTATAAATTGATTTATCTCAAATTAATACAAATATATTTTCCCTTTTAATAAAAACATGAATTTATTTCAATAAATAATTTGCTATTAAAATTGTTCAATACTTAAATTGAATCGAACTAGAAAAAATAGTTTAGTGTATACTTAGCAATGAGCAAGGTACAGGTAGGAATTGAGATCCTTGGCTTGCGTTTGACAGTCCAGTGTGTAAGTTATATTAAAACATAATTAAAAAGGCAGTTTAATCAAAATACAATGAGAACCAACTTTCATCAGTATATTAACAAGTTATCAGTATAGTTTTTATTGTCTAAAAGCTTAAAAAAGCATTTTAGTTGAGTTCTGAATACGAAACTTTGAGAAATTGTTCTTACATTTTTTAATCAAGAATAAACTTCTATTTTTTTTAGAGTTCTGAATCAATTTTAATCTTAAGAGACGGCAATAGCACGATATATCCTCTAGCTAAGGATTGTGCCGACGCAATTAGGGATCCCCAATTTTTAGACGTACCGCCTGTTAAATGCCTAACCACCAGTACTCTCGCACTGTGTGGTACTGGTACTAATATGAAAAACCAAGTTGCTATAGTCATTTTCGCCTTAGAACAACAATTATTGATGCCGAAGATTTTGAGATGCGATTTAGAAGGCGTTAGACAAGTGTTGACGCAATTGGACAATGATTTTAGTAAGTTTTTTTTATTACAACTTTTTTTAAATGTAGAACTGTCGGTGGGAAGGGTTGTTATATCTAAGGGGTTGTGACATATGAGAAGAGTCAGTTTTGCTCCCCCCCCCCCCTACTAGGAGCATGATATATGCGGTAAGGGGGACATTTTTTGACGTCTCTCAATTATCTGACCCTTCAGAGTTATACCCTACTAGTGACGAATCACAGGTGTTGAATATAATAAATATTTCTGAGCACTTTAATTGTACCTACTAATATTTATCTCAGTAAGTTTATTACACATAAACAATGGAACCAGGGGGGCAAGCGTTCTCTATTGACCCACTTCCGGACGTCCATGACCACTATGCCCTCGTGTAATATCAATTCGCTCCGTGCGCGACAGCAGCGCCAATTTGTTTTGGCATTAAAGGACTATTTCTGCCTATACTGACAAATACAATTTTTAATAGAATTCGTAAATAAAAAGTATATATGTTAGTTTTAATAAAAGTATATAGATTTGTAAAACAAGTAAAACAATAATTTATTATTATATATTTTTCCCGCTTAAATTAAAGAAAATTATATATAATCAATAAAAATCAATAATAAAATATAGGCAGGCAACAGTATTTACTGGAAAATGTATGAGAAGTTGCCTAAGTCTAATAAGTTGTCATTGAAGAATTAGCCTATTCTATCAAAATAAAAAAATACCATTTAATAATAGCGTGAAGTTAAAATGTATAAAAAAGGATCGTTATTTATATTTTCATTTTTGTTCGAAAGAAAACAAAATGAATGATTAAAACTGGTTTCCCATCAGTCACAAAATTGCATTCCAGCCACATATTATAATCAAAAACAGAAATCTTGAAATCTAGTCCTTGCTGAATGAACATTTAAGAATAAACGGATATTAAAGAACATCGTAAAATGATAATTTATTGTTTATTTAAAACCTTTCAAGTTTCTGATGTCTACTATTTCCAGCATTACTGTTATCACAAAAATAAAGGTAATTTTTCGTCTTATTGTACACCTATCCGTTTATTTCTTTGATTTAATTTCCACTTTGCTAGTGAAATTTTTTATATAAGTTTTACTGTTTTTTTGCTAGTATTTGTACAATTTTCAACACAGCAACTCCGGTTGCTTATTGTGTTTTTACCTACTTTTTTGAAAAAAAGTTAAATATATACGTGTATTTGATATGCGAAAATTACAAAATATCGTCCTAAAATGCACGAATTATCCGCAGCTAGCGCTAGTATCGCTTTTGCTTCCCTTTCCATGACTTCGCACGGAGCGAATAGTGTGGTATCTCGGAAATGGGAGACACCATCCTTTCAGTGCTACCGCAGTGTTACACAATATGTTATTAAGCTATTTTATTATTTTAATTTTATATTGGCACTAAGTAATTAAAACGGTTGTAATATTTAGGATTTTCAGTGTTAATACTTTGGTAGATACAAACTTTTTGAGACGCACTGTAAATTCCAAAATGTTTTTGAATTATAGCTCGAATAGATATTCATCTTCTTGTATAAAAGTAATAAATACATAAATAAAGTAATAAAAACGATTTTATTATTTTTTCCATTAGCTTGGTCTCGGGCCATTGGACACGGTACTTTGCAGGGCATGTGTGGGCCGTGTAGCCAACACATAGATGCCCTTTGGTAAGGGATACACGTGGCGGATACAATCCTCGACTGCATCATATGATCTACCCGGCGATTATAATTGTTTTCATATTACTAAGAAGTAATAATTACTATTATTTGCCTGTATAAGCACTGAAGTAACAATATAATTCAGGGTTTATATTCTGTTACTGAACTATCATGTAATTAAAGTCTATTCAAATTTAATTTACGCCTGATGTAAACAGAAGCAGGTGGACGCTACTTTTCCGTCTTGCAAAAATGTAAAATAAAAGAGTGTAATAATTGTGAAATTATTTTTTTATTACGATAAAAACATATTTTGTAAAGTAAAACTATAAAATAAATGCCGTACACGGTCTCCCAGACTTTAGTGACATTTCTGGACGAAGATAGGTGAGCGACATAAACTGCGTTAACTTGCAATACAAATTAATAAATGTATTTGACTTTAAAAGAGATGGTTGCATTATATTTAGTTCATTACATATGTCTACTGTGATACAGAGCATTAAAACAATCATATTATAAAATTGCAAATTCTTTAATAGCTAATATATATCTACTAAAAGCATCAAAAAAACTTTAAATATAAGAGGTATTTGGTATTTGATTTAAAATTGTGCATCTTAAAAAGAAACCTTTTGTATTTTTGATAACTTTTGTTCTTTATTGTTCTTGTTCTACTAGTATTTAGATTAGACAACTTGTACCCTGTATTATAGCGATCTTCCTTACTTGACTTAGCACTATTCTGAATCGGATAAATTAGTTAGACTTGAAAGGCTCTCTTCATTAATCAAAATTACAAGTGGTTTTACCTGAACCTCTATAATATTATCCAACTCCCACATTTTTACTTCAACTTTTTGGCGAACATGGTCGATACACTTTTTCCATTTTTCTGAAAAAATAATAATATTACTTCTTTAAAAAGAATTTTAATGTCTCCAGATTTAAATGTTGAGTTTTTATTTGCTACGTATTGTTTAACGTCAACCTAGATTAATTCAATAGGGTTAAGTTCACAATGATACGGAGACATGTGAAGTATTATGTTGTTTTGCTGCTTAGGACGTCGTAGATATTTTTTCCAGCTTTCTCGAATAATAATGCAGTTATCTTCTAATTTTAGTAGGGTGTTTGAAAACCACTCTTTGAACGATTCTCCACACATTTCTTCATAGTAGTCACCGGATTTTTCAACTCAAATACATAAAGTGCATTAGAGACAAAGCCTTCTTCACTTCCAATATGGCATAAAATGAGCTGTTTTTACGCAAATACCTGATGGGTTTTTAAAACCAGTTAAAAGTTCATCCAAAAAGGCTTATCTGGATGAAAAAACCGACATATCGAAACATACTTTTGATTTTGTGTGGCCTGCGTTAATCCAAGTCTCATCAAGATAATATATTTTTTTGCTTTTCTTCTCTGTACCGTTTTATTTTTTGTGGCGTAGGACGAAACAATTTCATTTGTGTCTAAAAGCAAACTATTTTTTCCTCGAGTTTTAAATTTAAAATTAAGGGTTTTGAAAAGCTTTTAAAATGTAGCTCGCTTAAAAGTAGACAAATATGGATCATCGTTGACTTCTTATAAAACCTTATCAATTGTTGGAAGTTAATTTCTAAAGAAGAATTGATGTACTATGCGCCTTATTGCATTTTTATCAAAATCATCCACAGAGCCACTAATTTGTTTATAACGTAGCTTTCTTTTTGGTTCAGAAAATTTATGAATCTGCCTATACTCCTTCATAACATTAAAAACGGTTTTAGCGCACATCCCTGTTTTATCAGCAACTCTCCTTTCAACATCATGTACCAACATATCAGGGTTCTATAAAATTTAATGCTTATAAATATTAAGAACCATTTCTTTAGTACGGATGACCAAATGTCCCTTTTTCAGTCGCTTTTTAGAAGGAGTAAAAACATGTTTCTGGACTTAATCTGCTGTATCTGTGGAGGACATAGTGTCACGCAGCAATTACAAAATATAGTCAATTAAATGTCCATAAAATAGAGTAAAACATGTTCAAACTAACAACCACAAAAACAAAAAAATCTGATGTGTCCAACACATGACTTTCCTATCTAGTTATTATAGGCGGTTATTTTGTACAACCTATTATACCTCCTCTATAAATATTTAGAGAATAAACTAAATATATACATTTTCCTCATACATTTAACTTGAAACATTTTTTTACAGATATTCATTGAAAACGAAATTAAGTTTAAAATTTAATGTTTTTTTTTTCTTTATCCGTTTTTGAGTTTTCTTCAAAATTCGAAATTTACACATTTTCTCAAATATCTCGAATGCGGTCCATTTTAGAGAAATTATGTATAGAATAAAAATTATAGAGATTTATATTACAAACAACTTTTATTTGAACAATTTTTATATAAAATTATTTTTTTTTTACATTTTATCAATTTTCTCGAATACGGACCATTTTAGGAAAATTTTGCATAAAACAAAAATTATAGATAATTATATTAGAAGTAACTTTTATTTGAAGAATTTTCTTCTCCAAACGTAAATAACAGATATATTCCATAAAATATAAAAATGACCACCTATAAAGTACCCCCCCAGATGTTCCGACTCTGCCCAAAATCTAATCAGCTCATTGGACGCTGAAACAAAGCTTAAGTTTAAAATTTGGTGTTTTTCTGTGTATCGTTTCATGAGTTATGCGTTATACAGACACACACACAGACATCATCGCGAAAATAGTCAAAACGGATTCAGGGGACCTCAAAACGTAAAAAACCGTCGAAAACTCGAGGTCGAAAAAAATCATATCATATCTGTATACAGATAGGAAAGTAAAAAAATAAATAACACAATATATGTATATCTAAACTATATTATAATGAATTATAATCAATCAAACCTACAAAATGTCCAAACTAACCAACACGGTGAATGCTACCAAAACGCCGTTTATAATTATCCAAATTGAACTGAATTCGACTCTGACAAAAAATATTTGCGCGTCGTCTAAATGACTAACCATTTAACCAATAGAAGCGCAAAAAAATGTCACGCAGCTGTTGCTGGATTCAATAAAAAAAATTTTTTTTTTTGTTTTTTTGGCTTAGGCAGAGACCAATTAGCCAGACTTTTTTTACTTAAAATGTATTTATTTACGTGATAACTTGTACCGATTTTGTTCAATTGGATACAATGGTTGGTTTAAGTGGTTAGTATAACTGTGTGTAATTATTATTTTTTTTTTTATTTACTTGTTTTTTTTTATTTAGATGTTTTTTGTATGTGTTTTTTATTTACGTTTTTTTTTTAATTTTTTTTTTACATTTTTTTTTGTTT